TTTTGTGAATATGTGCTTAGGTGTCAAATTTTGAATTTGCATAATGGTTTGGTTTAATTAATTATTTTATTTAAATGGTTTGTTTTCTTTAATTAGGTTTATTTGAATTAATTAATTGTTTAATTGTAGTTTTTATTTTCTTTAATTGAATTAAATTCACTTTTAATTGTTTAAATGCTTTGTTATTTTATTTGAATGAGTTAATTAGGTTTACATTATTAGTATATTAAATTGTAGGGTTTTATATTACGTTAGCTAAGGCCGACTAGGATTAGGGTTTAATTTTTTCATCATGGATTAGGATTGGGCTTAGGGTTTCTTAGTGCCTTTATATATACTATTATGTGTCTTCAAAGGGTTTAGAACCCTATACACGTACACTATAACAGATCTGGCTTTTACCAGCACTCAAAAGCGCTGGTAAAAGTCTTAAAAAATGCTTGTAATTGAATTACCAGTGTTTTTTCAAAAGCACTGGTAAAGCTTGCGTTGGTAGGGCTTTACCAGCGCTTTTTCAAAAGCGCTGGTAAACACCCTGTACCAGTGCTTCTTCAAAAGCGTTGGTAAATACCCTGTACCAGTGCTTTTGAAGAAGCGCTGGCATAGGGTATTTGCCAGCGCTTTTTCAAAAAGCGCTGGTATAGGGGTTATTTTAAAAAAAAAATTTATTATTTTTTCCCCCCTATGCCAGCGCTTCTTCAAAAAGTGTACTGGGGTCATTTTAATTTTTTTTTTTAATTATTTTTTTTCCCCTATGCTAGCGCTTTTTGAAGAAGCGCTGGTACTAGGGTCATTTTAATTTTTTTTTTAATTAATTTTCTTTTCCCTGTCCCAGCACTTTTTCAAAAAGCGCTGGTACAGGGGTCATTTTAATTTTTGTTTTATTATTTTATTTTTCCTTATACCAGCGCTTTTCCAAGAAGCGCTAGTACTGGGGTTATTTTATTTTTTATTTTTTTCCCCCTATGCCAGTGCTTTTTGAACAAGCGCTGGTAGAGTAGTTTTTTTTTTTTTTTTTTTTAAATTTTTTTTATAGCTACTAAATGTCATCCAATATAACACAAATCAATATAAAAATACCATCTCAATTGTTTTTACATAATACAACCACAAGTTTACCTGCTGCCAATATGAAAAATACCGTCGAAATTGGCTACTAATTGATAAAGCTGGTAAATGTCAACCAAAAAACCAAAATGTATACTAATACAACCACAAGTTAACCTGCCACTATGAAACTACCATCCAAATTGTCTAGATAAAGCTACTAAATGTCACACAAAAAGAATTAAGAATTTTTGGCAAATGTAGTACAAGTTTTTCAAAAAGGACCCATCCAAGGGGAAGGAAATTCAGAAAGCACAGCCACGACCCCATCTTCAGCTTCAACTTCAACAAGTCTTCTTACCCATTTGATTTGAATTATCCTACATTTTTTATAAATTCATTAAGCGCACATTATAATAAATGAAAATTTAACATATATATAAGAGAAATTAAAAGTTCATAACCTTAATTGAATTGGCATCACGACTAGAAAATGAATTTGGGGACACTCTAGGAGGAGCATTTAAAGAATCAGAACCTTTCAAAATAACAGAACAAAATACATGAAATCTTGGCATAAGTAAACATATATTTAGTAAAGAGTAAAATTAATAATAAATATACCTGTCCACTACAATTTTGTTGTTGCATTTGCTTTAACATAGCCACCTGTTGTTGTAAATTTTCCAACTTGTCGTCATAGTTGGCTCGTAAATTTTCCAACTTATTGTCATAGTCGGTTTGCATTTTTGAAATCGTCTCCTGCAACTCTACACGTGCAGCACGTGCCTCCTCCTGAGATTTTTTGACATTATTAATCAGTTCAGCTTTACTAGGAGAAGGCCCCCAAACATCGCTTGGTGTAGGCCCGAAGCCAAGCATCCGCACACAACCAATTCTTTCTTCTCCCCTCACAATGGAGAACAAATCATTGGAACTGCCAATAGGCGAGTCAGAGTAACTTTTTTGAAGTTCTCTTATGTTTTCCCGCCAAAAAAAAAAAAAAAAAAAAAAAGTTTGAACTACCATGACATACTGCTATGAAACATCCAGACAAATCTAATGAAATGATAGAATAGGAATGCAGAAACAGCTGAATAGAAAAGTAATTAGATAACAAATTGATAATGACGAAAGCCAAGTGTTCTGAAACAACAGTGCATCACACAATGTGAAAATATAGTTGTGACATCCCTTTGAACTTTCATACAATCTTTAAAGCTTCAAAATGTGCTGAGATAGGATCCGTGTAACAACCCCTAAGAGACACTTGTTTTTTCCTTTTTTTTTGGGTAGGGGTTGGGGTTTTATTCGGTGACATTTTTAATCCTCAATTACTTGAACATTCATCTTTTCCGATGAAAATCAGGTGATAAAATGGCTTCCTTTTAAAGAAGGTTGTGTTTGGAAATTGGGATACCATGTTTGTAAAACTGCAGCAATATTAGAGTAATGTACTGTATTTTTAGCTTTTCCATTAGATGTAAATTTAGCTTTCAAAAAGTTTTTATTATCTACATTCTACCTAACTTTTGTTAATTACTCAATCTTGAACTTGTTTTAAAGGCTGCTTTCAATAAGATTGAGTACAGATCTAGCATTTGTCATAATTTGAACAAAATTGCTTCTTAAACTCAAATCCACATTTGAGTAATTTGAACTCTACCATTAAGGCTCCTCTAATGTCACCAAATCTGTTTTTTATTTTTTTATTTCCTTTTCTCCTTATAAATTATATAATTACAAATGTTCTTATCTATGTTTAAACAAATCACAGATCTTGTTTCTATATCCTGTTAAGAAAAAGAAAAATGAGGCATCAAATTTTGGATTATGCAGAAAACAAAGATACAATGTAGTGATGTTTCTAAAGAATTGTCAAGTTGGGTAACTGCTGACAAATTGTTCAGTGATCCGGAAAATGACTGTATTTCTTAGTCAGTTGTCTCAACAAAATTTTCAATGTAAAGCCAAAACTAATCCACCATATCCTCAAATTTTCTGACTGGAAATAGGTATTTTATTGAGAGACTACATAAGTGCCAATTATTTGAGCATGTAGTAGAATAATCTGAACATTCAGTTCTAGCTAAAGTCTGAACTCTACCACTTTATTTTATTTTCTCTATTTTAAAAATTCAGCTGCTAATTTTTCAGTTATGTTGCTCTATTGTTGCAATGATATTGTTCTGGTTGTACCGTTTATAGCATATCATGGTATGCTCTATAAGTTTGAACACAGGTTGGGAAGTATTTTTTAAAACCCTAGATTCTAAATAAAGTACAAAAGAACTGAAATCCCAATAAGCTATGAACATGTAATGCTTAAATATACATGTGTATGTATAATATATATATATATACCTAAGCTTTCATGACAAAAACAAAAGTATTTAAATGAAGTAAATAGAGAAAAGATGAATGTAGCTTCACAAACATCAACCCTTGCCCTTGGAGAGAGGGAGTCAGAGAGTCAGAGGAAAAGCAACTGCTAACTTGTATGTATGGGTTTTGTTTTAAATTTTTTTCTAAATCAACTAATTAGGCTCTGTAATTCTTGTTTTGCAAACTAAATCCTATTTGGTGAAATTTTTTATGATCTTTTTTATATAAATTTTTTTTTTTACAATATAAAGTAACAAAATTTGCATTGCATTTTGAGGTAATCACCGCAATCTACTTTTTATTTCAGCAAACAAAAAAAATAATAATAATAATAATAATAATTTCTATAAAAACTATTCCTGTTTTATTATTATTTTTTATTTTTTGTTGTCCATTATATATGTCTACAAGAAAATTTGAATCTGGGCATGAAAAAAAAAAAAAAAAAAAGAATCGCAAGAAGAATTAGAAATCTACAGAGATTGAATCTGAAACAATTTTTATCAACATGCCAAGCTTTTTGAAGATGGAAATCTTTTCAGAACTGAAAAAAAAAAAAAAAAAATCACAAGAAGAACTTTGACAAGCAAAAGTAGTTAATTGGTCAAAAGAAGAGATAGTCCTTAATCAATCAATTGTTTAAAGAAACATTGTTAATTAACTAAAATTGAATTAAACAAAAGTTGATTTTGGTTGATATATTTTGATTTTGCCCACCCCATTGAGAAATCCTAGATCCGCCCTTAGCTCTAGCTTTTACATGCTTCCATTCGTAAGTCTCTCTCTTGTTGATTACTCATCGCAGATTTGAGTTTCAAAGGAAGATGAACAGGGTGGAAATGGTTTTGGGGGAAAATCGGTGGGCACTTGGTGGGGGCAGTTCATCGACTTCACTCCAAAAAGAGTGTCATTATAATGTTTTGTTAATGTTTCTTCCTTATCCTACATCGACATTTGGTCAATTTGGACCACCATAGGGTACTTTATAGATCATGAATAAGTGTTTAGTGGCCTTTACATAGCTTGTATATAATATTTGAAGTTGTCTACATTCAAAAGACCATTGCCACAATATATGAGTAAGAAATTAACACGAACAACAAATAGCAAATACTTCTTCTCCAACACACAAATCAATCAACAAGAAGCCTCCACATACAATATTCCCATACTCCCATGCTTTTCAACAAATATAAGAAAGTAAATTGCCTCCACACGGGCCGATGATTTAAAAATTGGTCACTTCAAGGCACGTAACCCCCTAATACAGCATAAAGAGTTTAAAAATTGGTCACTTCAAAGCACGTGACCCCCTTTTTGCAAAATGGAAGCATGAAAACTTACAATCATCTTCGAAGCAGCAGCATCAGTAGCTTTGCCATCCTTATTTACATGTGTGTGGATGAATAAATCTGCACGAGAAAGCTGAATACCTTCGTCTTCCTCAATCTATAAAAGAAACATAGACATTGTGATATATATTATTTACCACTAACATTTATAATCATTCAATGACATAAGAATTGAAATAATTTATATTTTCCATAAAAACTTCAACTAACCTCTGTAGAAACACATGCAAAGCTTTTTGTCCCTGTAATATGCATCATTGTCTGCTTCCCACGACGTTCTTTATTTTTTTTGCTGACCTCCTACAAAAAGTGAGAAAAAGTAAACGTTCTTTGAGTAAAGAACATTCCACCTAAAATAATGATTGAAAGCAGGTAAACTATAAATTCAACTCATCGACTTCAAAAAACATTGTGATAGATGGAGGATTACCTTCGCCATAGGCGTACCCCAATGCCTGACCAAAAATTCCCAATGCTCATTTTCAACATCAGGTGGTGGGTTTGCCAATCTTTCTTCATCTGAATCCCTAACCGAGTAGTATTCATTTTTTAATTCACACTTGTACCCCCTCCATTTTTTTCCGATGGAGGATAATGTCCACTGTTTTGACATGATTCCCACATCATATTTTCCCTGAAAATGTGATAATTGCTACATATTAGTCCACTTTTTCCATAAAAATTATTTTAATGTTATTGAAGGGTTTTACCTTTATAATATTCCACATATCCTCCTTCAGCCGTTTAGGCATCTCCCACCAAATTTTGTAGTACAAATGAGCTAATTTACCATTCCGGGTAAGTGTTCCCAGATAATTAGTATATTTACCACTTCCAGGACTGATCGGCTGTCCAAACTTATTAACCCTAAACAAAAATTAACAATTGTAGATGTTTAGTACAAAAATAAAGATAGAAGTCCTTTTTTCTCCTTCATATTGAATATAGTCTAATTATGTAAACTATATAAGATGATATATATATATATGTACCTTAAAGGTAATAAGGTTGTCGCGTCTATGACATTCTTGCATCGTGTTAGGCCCCGTCTCTTCTTCGGCGGTGGTTGGGATGATTTTGAAGTTGAAGCTTCGGTATTTTGTTCATTCACTTTTTCCACTTCACTAACCGTTCGTTTCATTGTAAGCTTATTATTTATCCTTCCTTGAAAAGCCTCCAAAAAAAGTGAGAATTCAGTTAAGAGAATGCAATCAAATTGTTAAAAAAAGCGGTCCAGGAAAAACCAATAAAAAGAAATAAAAGTATTTTCATATTAAAAAATGATTGTCTAGCAAGTGCTGACCCCATTTACAAGAAGAACTGAAAGCTACTAAGATTTACAACAGTAAAATGAAAAAAGCAAGAGACCATGAGCAAGGAATAAAGGAGGATGGTATACCTAAAAGAATTAATCTAAATAGCAGGGCCAAGTAGTTGCTTTTCTATTTCATTCAAAGACTTGTTCAAGGAAGGTTTGGCCGAGTAATATTTGCCATCACTTGTGATGCATTAAATTAAAACAAATAAATAGAGACAATCCTGTTCTTAGTTTCATGCAATTCATGTTGATATATTTAATGGATTTATAACGCTCTCTTACTCCTTGATAACGAACTCCTAGAATTTACAAATCCAAACACAGTCCAAATTCATGTAAATATTTTATCAGTTTATATTACCACATATGATCTACTACAAGAATAATATACAATTATGATATTTTATGCTTCTGCTTGCACAACCAACAGGAATTTCAGGAATGACACCATTTATGTCAATTTGGATGACATGTGTAATATGAAGTACGGTACCTTTATGGATTTCGTCAATATATAGGATGGTTGAGGCTGTTGAGCACTTGTATAGAAAATATGATAAGCAACAAAAATCTATTTATCACAGCTTTTTAAAGTAGCATCATTATTCATTACCTGATCTATAAAGGCTCTCAAGCAAATGCTGAACAGAATAATTTTGATCAAGACAACACCCAGCCTGGCCTTCCTACCAAACGGAGCATTAAGCTCATTACTATAACACACACAAACATATATATGTATATGTATATAATGAACTTCTCCTCTTTTCGCTGTAAGATTTCTTAATTAGAGTTTATGTTCTTGTGTTATGAAGCACCAACTATTGTTTAAAAGCACCTTTTCTATTTTTTTTTAGTATTATGTATGGTGGAATAATTTTTTTATCTGCTTTACTTTAGAGGGTCAATTGCTTGATTATAAGTAACAATGAAGGTTTAAAGTTAATTAATTATATGGGATCAGTGTGATTAAAATAATGTCTGATATATTTTTACCTACCAATTGGCCAAGTCAAAAGGTCCGGAATTGTTTGTCTGTTTTGTTTTTGTTATTTTTCTTTTGTGATTGAAAAGCCAAGTGTTGGACATTTCTTAGTTCTGTAGTTATTCTTTTTTAGCTAGCTATTCTTTGAAATTTGAAATTTGAAATTTAATTGGCCATGGTAAGCAAGAGAAGTAAAAACAATGTTATAATTGGTTCATATTATTATATATAGTGATATTGTTCTTTTAATAACCTTAATAGTGTCAAAAACAAAAAGAGATACTATACTATGCTAATGGTAATGAACGCATCAAAAGCATATATCTATCTTATGCATGACAAGTAAGTGAATACTAAATGGAATTTGTGTGATAAAGCAAGTTGAATCTTTTGGCACACACACAAGCAACCCACCCAAAAAGGTAAGGTTTGAAGCAATTCATGGAAAAGTGATTTCTAGAATGAACTTCCTAAATAAACTTTAAGCCCTAACTTTTGCATAAAATACTAGATTTTTGTTCCATTTGACTAAAAATGCAAGTAGTTGTAATATATATGGTCTTTTCTGATTTAAATAAGTGCCAACCCTACACTTTGAGAGAGGTTAGGGGCTAATCTTAGATGTTTAAAATAGGTGTTCCAAAGAGAGATCACTCTTGGTCCACCTTCAAACTTTTTCCAAAAAGTGGCATCAGTAAAAAAATAATAATTCTATTGGTCATTTACACATCATTAGTGATTGAGGTTACTTCCAAGTGCACCCTTTTTACACAGAGATGTTCAGATACTGAAATGATCAAATCATAGTCCAGAAAATAATACATGATGTTTATAAGTTTTCAACCAATAAGAACTACATGAATGCTCATGATGTAGATAAACTATACATGTGTTGGCACCAAAAACTGGCAGTCATCTCAGCGATGACGTGGACCAATGAGAAATTGACAAGTGTTTATTATGTCTTAAGGGAAGTCTGCCAATAGAGAGACAAAAGGAGAAAATCTAGGCAAATATATTTCAGCCACTTTGTTGATAAGGTTGTTGCTAAATATATTTGTAGAGATTTGAATCAATTCAAATATGTCATCAATTCAAAAGAGAAGACTTAAGAGATTTAGTTACAATAAATAACTAAATCCCAATGAAGTGGGAATTTCAACAAGAAAGGAATAGCCGTATAAGTTCAAAAGTTACAAATGGCCATTAGGCCATTTAAGGGAATGAAACGGGCTGCTAAACTTAAGGAGGGGAGTTGCTAAAAATTAGCAACTTTTCAGCAACTTTCTAGCAACGTTTTAGCAATATCTCGGCAACTTACATGTGATTAAATCGAGGAAGGTTGTTTTTACAGAGATTTCCTACTGAAACAAAACAAGAAAGGAAGCGGAATAACAATAGGATTTGACTGAGTTCAAATTGTGAAGAGAAAGAATCAAAGAAGGAGAGATTTTCTAGCAATAACTTAGGAAAATAAGTTGAGATAGAACTTCTATAAATAGAAGTATTGTATTCCATTTCCAATTCGTCCAGCACCACCACAAAACATGCATTTCAACTAAAAATGTTTTCAATTGACTCTACGTCATTTTCCTATCAATTTCTTTATTTCAATTTAATGGCAATTGATTAGATCCTCGTCAACTATTTCGATTCAGCCATTTACTTTCTTTCAGTTTCAATTATGCCAATTTTAATTACGTAATTTTAGTTAGGCTTTCAATTCAATGGCAATTGATTAAATTCTTGCCATTGAATCGTAGTGACAATTGATTAAATTCTTGTCATTACTTGGCTGATGGCAATTGATTAAATTCTTGCTATCACGTTTCAGTGGCGATCGATTAAATTCTTGCCATTGTGTTTGGCTGATGGCGATTGATTAAGTTCTCGCCATCACGTTCGGCCGGCGATCGATTAAGTTCTTGCCGCCTGTCTTCACTCGGCCATTCCATCCATTCAAACATTCATCAGCCGTTGCATTTCTTTAGACACTCTAAAAAGTCCTTGCTACAAACAAGGCATAAAAGAACCTTGCTGAGAGTTCTTACTAGTCTCTCTCCCACACAATCGCCTGAGAGTCAGCCATCGGAAAAAGGGATAGGCTGGTGTTCAATTACATATTTTGGGTATTTTGTACAAATACTCTGGCACGCCCGCGAAGAGTCCATCGACTGGCGTAGGGAACAAAAACCGTGCGAACACGTTTTGGCACGCCCGGTGGGACCACTACTAGAGTGTTATAAAAGAGGCAAATATGCCGCGGCCCACAAAAAATTCTAAGGCCGTGGCTACTGATGAAGATTTGGAGGAAGGCGATCAGCTAGTACAGGCTGAGAACTCTGCAGCAGGTCCTACTGATGAGTTAGCCGTACTTCAAGCACAGGTTAGCTCCTTGGTAGATGCAATGGGAAGGATGGGAGCACGCTACAATGACTTGCATGAAAATATGTCCCAACTCTCAGCCTTTATTTTGAACAAGCCGACTCAAGCTAGCAGCTCCAACAATCAGGAATCGGCTTCTCAGCCGAATCTATCACAAGCTGCTCGGCCAGAGAGGGCAATTGAAACATCACAGCTATGGCCGCCAGTAGTGACACTCCAACCAGGTGCAACATCAAGTCAGCCGGTTCATACGCTACTCACCTGGGCAGAAAGCTATCCTCAGCCTACGTTGGCAGGTTCTAATCAGCCACCAGTAGCAGGTTCGTGGCCACAGGTAATTCCACCAACATGTCACAAGGAAACAATTAACAACCACATGTTAACATCACAACAAATACCTTTGGCCTACCATATCTATAACACCCATTATCAAAATCATTATGGATCACATGCTGCTATTGTACTGTTCTGAGGTAATCAACTGCTGGTAGACCTAATACAATTCACACTGGTGTGCTTACTTGTCTAAAGCATAGCCACAATATAAGAAAAAACACACACACTGCTGTGTGTCTACAAACAGATGCCTGAAATTTATTATGAGATAATACCAATCTTGTTTGTTTGTTTTTTTTTGGGTAAATAATCTTGTTGTTGTTATTTGTATCATGTGATAAAGATTAATCGATCCTATCTGAAGATTGCAGTCTTTCAAAAACAAAGAACTTGTTTTGTGTTTGGGAAGGCATATTATATAAAGGATATATATCAGCAAAATTGCATATCACACCACACAAGTGTAAGCTTGAAGGATGATTTGATTCAGTGGACCACAATTTTAGTACAAGAATGACAATTTGTATTGATTGAATTCATGTGCTTCCTTAGCGCCATTCAAAGAAAAAAAAAAAGAAGTAGCTTTTAGACCTGAACAGCAAAAGTATAATACTAGTAATCCTCATAGAATGAGTTAATCAACATCGAAATTGTGGGAGCTTTTCTGCTGCTACTACTAAATATTCTACTGGAAAATTTTCGTCTACCCAATTAATCAAACGATCAATGAAAGAATTTGTTGACACTTTTGCATCTTACATTGTCAATTTTAAGATGCCTCTTAATGGCTGCTTTAACACGTCTATGAAGCTTGAGTCTTAGCTCATTATATAAAAAGGGAGTTAGCTATCAAGGTGTTTCCGACCCATTTAATAACCCATTGCTCTCTCTCTCTCTCTAGACACAAAAAAAAAAGAAAGAAAGAAATTACCTGAAAAATGAAATCAGACTAATCAACGACAAAACTTGTTCTAACAATCTAAGCTACAATCGATTATTTCCTCCTGTACAAAGAAAAAAAAAATTGAAAACAACAATTTAAGGTACAGAATGAGATCAAATAGTGGTTGCAGAATCATTGAAATTGGGAGGATACGTTGTCGCGTGAACTAAATTCCAATCTCAAATCAAACCCACCTGATATTGTTTACTGCTTTGGCTGTTTCCATATTCCCGACTTGATGACGTCACTTCTTCCCCTACGCACTCGAAGCCGAATTGCTTCAAAATCTACTTAGATGATGTCTGGAATAGGAATGGTTAGGTTGGGAATAGGAAGACAGAGAGTGATGGTTCAAGCTTTCACTTGAAGAACTTACATTGTGAAAAGGAAGTTGGAATCGTTGACCGGTGATGGAAGGGCGCGATCGGTGATGGAAGGGCGAGACCGTGATAAAGGAGAGAGAGCTGTGATGGAAGGCGAGAGAACGGCTGAAGGATTAGGGCTATTGCAAAATGAAATGGGAAAGTGGAGAATACAATGTTAATTCCCCACACAATGACGTAGTTTTAGGGCCCAAATATTCTATATATAAATTAACGGAGGGAAGGTAAAAAAATATGGAGGGAAGTGGAAAAATGGGGACACCTATACCAGCGCTCCTACAAAATGCGCTGGTACTATTACACCTATCCCAGCGCTTTTTCTAGGAGCGCTACTATTACACCTATACCAGCACTCCTACAAAGAGCACTGGTACGCACTTATACCAGCACTTTTAAAAAAGCGCTGGTACGATTACACCTATACCAGCGCTTTTTTTATGATTACACCTATACCAGCGCTCCTAGGAAAAACGCTGGTACCATAACACCTATACCAGTGCTTTTAAAAAAAGCACTGGTAATATTAAACCTATACCAGCGCTTTTTTTAGAAGCGCTGGTAAAAACCTAATATGTTGTAGTGGTACAGCATAATATAGAGAGAAAACAGAGAGGTGGTGAGAAACAGACAGAACAACTTTGGTGAGGGTT